TCTCCTTACTCTGCCCAACCTTCTCTTCATCTACATCGACAACAACGCACTATCCGTACCCATACCCGCTGACATCCGGAGGATGTCCCGGCTCGACGTGCTCAACCTGGAAGGGAACAGATTTTCTGGGCACATACCGAGTTCGGTCGGCGAATTGACTCAGCTGACCCGGCTGCAGCTCGGCGGCAACTGCTTCGCCGACACCATCCCCACCAGCATCCGGCGGCTGAGGAACCTGACCCAACTGCATTTGGACCGGAACCAGCTGTCCGGCTCAATTCCTGACGTGTTCTCGGAACTCACGAGCCTCATAAGCATGCGCCTCTCGGGCAACACGCTCACCGGGACGATTCCACTGAGCATTTTAGCAACCGCCCCCAACATTCGCTATCTTGAGCTGGGAGGTAATTCCCTGAACGGCCCGATCCCTGATTTTCTTGGAAAATTTCGGGCCCTCGACACGCTGGACCTCTCCCGGAACAAATTCTCCGGAACTGTGCCAAAGACTTTCGCAAACCTGACCAAAATTTTCAATCTTGACATGTCGCGCAACAATTTAGTCGACCCTTTTCCGAAATTGCACGTCAGAGGTATCGAGTCCCTCGATTTATCTTACAATAATTTCCACCTAGGCAAAATCCCGGAGTGGATCACATATTCGCCCATCATTTACTCTTTGAAACTGGCAAAATGCGGGATCAAGATAAAACTCGATGACTGGAATCCGGCCGAGACTTACTTTTACGACTACATTGACTTGTCCGAGAATGAGATCACTGGAAGCCCGGCGAAGCTTCTGAACAGAACAGATTATCTCGTGGGGTTTTACGCTTCTAACAACAAACTGAAATTTACCTTAGAGAATACCAATTTTGCTAGGACGTTGAGGTTTCTTGATATGTCGAGGAATTCGTTGTTTGGGAAGGTGCCTAAGGCAGTGACAATACTTTCAAAGTTGAATGTGAGTTATAATCACTTGTGTGGTCAGCTGCTGGCAACAAAGTTTCTGCCTAGTTCTTTCGCCGGAAATGATTGCTTGTGTGGGTCATCGTTGCCGAAATGCAAAGCTTGAGGATTATGATGGTGGTGGGGTCTGCAATTGCAACATTTTCTTACCTCTAATAAGAGTTGCAGGTCATGTGGACCACGAAAAGTAGGCAAAACTGCTTACTGCTGTTCTACAATATGCATAAAGTCAAGTATCTAGTTGTGTAGATAATGGTGGTTGTATGATTAAGATTTTTTCTGCATGTTAAATAAATTCTTATCATGAGGCTGAGCCTTCCTCTTCGGCCCCACACTGTCTCCCAGACCTTGGCCTTTTA